TCGTCGTCGGAATAAATTATAAACAGTAATTATATACGATGCAATACGAGTGTATAATATTATATTACCTACTCCGTGTGTGAGTGTGTGTATCGAAACCGACAACTCCATTAAAATAAACACGCGCGAGCATGTATAATGATATACAATATATTGTGTGTATACAATAATAATAATAATAATAATATGTACTGTGCACCGCTGCAACTGGTATGTGTTGTAATATCATAATTTATAGTGCAACAGTATTGGGCATAATGTGTTCTGTTTTTTTTTTCTCTCTCTCTCTCTCTCTCCGTGTCCGTCACCGTGGTGGAAACGACGGACGGGCCGGCGTTCTGCGGCGCGGGACTGCAGCGCCCGAACAACGATAGCTAACTCGCTAGGACTTGTTTGGACCTCCGAGATAAACGTTACACAACACAGTCGATTAAAACCGTATGATTTTTCGAAAATTAACCGAATCACTGTCATTTATTATAATTTATAGGTGCTACCTAAACGTAAATCATCACTGGCGAACAGGAGATATTAACGATAAGCATACCTATATACGTATCTATTTTCGGGGTACATATTAATAGCGCATAAACAAAGAAGATTTGAAGTGTTGCGTGTCTGCATATTTAAAAGTATATACCTATGACTTAAAAAAAAAAAAAAAAATGTTATTTCCCAACTCTTAATCTCGACGATTTGCCGAAGTGCCTTCCTGCAATCACTTCATCCATCCCCCTATAACCAACCCAACACCCGTCGTACAGTACTTGAACGTATTGTATATAATATATATTATACAATATTATAATAAAGTTGTCATTATATTTTTCCAATTATTTCTGCAACTTCGAAACGTTACTTTACGGATTTATGAGAATATGATATTACATTTTACGGTCTTGTATCACTATAAATAAAGATCGATTCCGTGAATTGTCTACGCTCAATATTAATAGTGTATTAATGGCTACGAATAAAAATCGTTCATTAGACATGAAAAAATTTCAAAATAACTAAAAAGCTTTGTTATATAATTGTTAAAAATATTTAACTATATTATTATGTTACTCACATTTGGTACGGACGAAACGAACGTGTGCGTGAGGGAGAGGGCATAACGTCCATGATTTTTTTTTTTAAATCTAACATAACTATAGTAGGCCTGAATCTCTCTCCCGAAACACTAGTGCTGGTTACGCCACAACATTGATCCACGTGCCTTAATAATATAATAATAACATGCACACCATTGTAACATGGCGAACGAGTTTTCAGACTTCGTTATAGTCGATCAAAACAGTTTGTAAGACATACGCAATGCCGCAATGGCCGTGAAAAAAACCGTACCGGTCGGTTAGGCGACGATATTGTCGTGTGATGTCTAAAAAATAAAAATATATATTACCATTCTAGTGTACAGTCATTTGGAAGTGTTACTCTGATTTATTTTAAAAATGCATCTAATCCTAGGCAGACCGCAATTTTTTGTCATGTCTATCGTCCACTGCATGTGTTTTAACATTTTTCTGTTGTAAACATAATATTACCAATGTACCCACTATAATAATATTATAATACTACATATTTATTACACTGTAAAATCAGTGCATCGTACGACATATCAATACAAAAAATGTCATCGTTTCTTTGAGTTTATACATAGAATCCAGTAAATATTTACCCATATGTAATTGTAAATATTGCCGGAAAAACTAAAAACATGTACCTACACGACGGGAGAGTACCTATTTAACAATAAACCGGTCAAAATCATTGCACCACTCCCTGCTGCACGGCTACACCCAATGGTGCATATCATTTTGTGAAGTTTGCATAAAAGACACATTGAATATTAGTGTATAATTATTACGGCGCCAATAAAAAAAAAAAAACAACTCTTTTATTCTGTAAAATCACAAGACAATAATAATATTGTTATACCTTTTCCCGGACTTTGCCCGGGGACGTCCTTGAAATTTTTCCACCCGGAACGATGTTCCGCCTCTTGTTCAGCATAGAGGCTATAAATCTAGTCAACGGTGGTTAACGTTGATATTGTTGTCGTGTACTGACCGTGCGGGTCGAGAGAAGAGGAGTGAGAGACACCTGTTGTCCCGCGAATGGACAACTATACATTACTATCATTATTTGCCTGCAATTAATGTACCTACTACAGTATACAATAATCATTCGTTTAATTACTATTATATTAATTTATGAAAAATCGTCGTAGCGTTGTGTAAGTACGTATATCTTCCCATATAATATTATGAAATAGCTATATAGTATTGCAACGAATAATAATACAATGATTTTTAATGTAAATTAAACTAAATTACGACGTTGACATTTCAATTCCTTCTTTTTCGCAATACTATAGATAGGTAGGATAAATAATGTGCGTAGGTGGGTATACATAAATAAATTAACAATTATTACAACTTTGAAAACATAATTTAATAAATACGAAAAAACAACAACAACAAAAACAATAACACGACATGCGCGCGTTTATCTAAACGTAGGTAGGTATAAAAATAATAATGTTATGCTAATTCCTAATGACCAATGGCAAACGTTAATGGTCTTTTATTTTACAAATTTATGCAACTTTCAGTAAATTTTAAACATTAATTTTTAATTCTGATCAGCTTTCATTTTGCTACATGTCTGCATAAAAAGTTTATTTTTTATTTCATTCACTACAAATAATGCCAATAAAATTAATTACAATCGAATTTATTATTCAATATGCAATTTAGAAATTGAAACGAATAAAAATAAAAATTTAACAAAATATATTAATTCTCTTGTGCTAGACAAATTATTATTATTTATTAATACGACTTTGCGTATTTTCTGATTATCTCGAACACATTTGGTTTTTCTAATAATATAATATATTGTCAGGATACATTATGCATTTTTACGAGTAAGAAACTATGTACATTATACATATAATTGTTATACAATTCAATTGTTAGAACGTGAATATAAATTATATTATAATTAGTTATTACACAAATCAATCTATGCCGTAACGTTCATCGTTGTAGTATTTTTGATTGATTACTTATCTTGTTTGCAGTGCGCTCAATCATACATACCCTATTGTATTCTACATTTTGACAGCAATATAATTATAAAAATTCAATTCAATAAATTGAACATATAATAATATCGTTCGTAGAATTTGAATATCATAACAATTTGTAATAATATATTTAATATACTGTATATCAAGTATGAATATGTAAGTATATCAGCTACCTCTAAATCACCATACATCGAGGTCGATTTAAGTCGTCCGTTATTATTGCTATTTGATCTTTGTAATATTGTGAAAAATTAACTATATTATTTTTAAGCCAGACATTTCACTCTGTTATAGAGTATAGATGTTGAATGCTCGTCATAATTGAGTAGGTAATTGTAGTGCATGTGTTAAATTTACAATTTAATGAAAGGACATTGAATGTGAAAAACAGTTCTGCAGTTCCCACTCAGAATATATATTCATCAGTTTAAATAATCAATGAATATTTTATTATATTATTTGTATTGCTGTTGATAATTTATTTTTCTATTTATTACATGGAATATTGAACTGATTGTGATAAATACAAAACGTCTGTTTTTTCTAATAATTATTATTACCCATAATATTTTTTTTTATATTATTACTAGCGGTTATTATAACTTATTACTTAATAAGTATATACACGGTTCTTCAACATAACTGTTGTTATTACAGAAACTTAAACATTTCAAAAATACATGATCTATGTAGGTA